GAATTTTCGAATTCCTCGTTGAAAATTAGTTAAAAATGATGTGTCACATGCCAAAACTGACAAGTGACACTTTTTCGTCACTTTTCGTCACTGTGACGTTGTCACAGTGTCCATCTTCGAACTCGTCCTGTCCATTGACGTTAGGAGTTTACGTTCAAAATTTCAAGTGTCTATGTCTTTTCGTTCAAAAGTTATCGGAGCTACGGACAGACAGACGGACGGACGGACGGACGGACGGACGGACGGACATAACGATCTTATAAAGGGCTTTCACCCCTTAATAAAATTATAAAACTTATTCAGTTTACGAACATCCACGTGAAGGAGAAATCTATTTCTCATGATACCCCCAAGTAAAACCCGGGATCCAAACCAACACATTGTAAACCAAACTCATGTTTCATTAACTTGGTTGTTGTATTCTGTTGGAAATTAATTATTATGTATTTCTTTTTGTACAATTCTTGTACTTATCATCATTCGGTAAGCGTACTTATCCCCTCAAACATTGGCACATAAAACTATTAAAAAATTAGCCTGTTTAACTTTCCTTTCCAAATTTTTAACTTAAAATTTCTCCTCATTTAAATCAAAATTCTTAATTAATCAGCTCATCTTCTTTTTTGAAATTGAAGGTTAACCATGACCCACAATTCGCAAGTCTCCAAGTATCAGTCTAACACGACCAGGATGATGTTGGCGTATCAAAAACTCGACTTTTCCCAGTTTGCGGAGCTTCGCAAAGCTGGAGAATTCCGGCGCACGGACGTCGTTCCGTTGCTGGCGAGGTATACTTATCACAATTAATTAATTGCCTGCCTAGTTAGTTAGTTCGTGAACTAATTATGATTATTTTTCTCCAGCCCGGCTGACCTTGAGCGCGAGATGGCCGCGTTTTGTCAAAAGAGAGCGGATTCGATGGCGGTGAAGATAGAGAAATACTTGAGAGAGTGTTTTCTCGACAGGAAATTTAACACTTTTTCCATCGATGAGCTTTTTGTCGCTCTAAAGGAGACGAACGTCCACCCGGAGGCGAGAAAGGTATGATTTTTTGGGGGGCATCGTAGTTCGGAAAGCAGATCAAGTTAAATTGCCAAATTTTGTGAAATTTGTCGGATTTCTTTTGATAAATTTCCTGCTGGAAAAGGATCAGATTTTTATTTTGAGGCAATTGACGCAGGCAGGCAGACTTGTAAAATCGGAAAATCCGTAAATTCTGTAAACTTTTACAAAATTTTACCCATTTTTCTGAAGAAAATTATTCCAAATTATAAACTTGCTCAGATCAATGACGTCTTTTTACAAACTACGAGTTCCGATGCGAAATAAGTCAATTTTGTGTATAATTAAATTCTGATTCTGATTATTTTTTTCCAGATTTTGTTGGACGAAAGTCTTCCCAAACGGCATCCTCGGATCAAGATCGACGCCAAGGGTCGCTTATCGTACATTCCGCCATACAAAATTACTGCCCTCACCGATATGGTGGATATGATTAAAGATATGTCGAGCCGGTTGGAAGGTGCATAATTCATTTTTTAATAAGTTTTAGAAAGAAGCTAGTTTTTGGAAATTTTGTAATAAAAATTCCATCTTTTTCAGGTCTATTCGAAGATGACATTCACGACTCGACCAAGCTGAGCGATTCAATCATTCGGGTAAAAAGATGAACACGTATTTTCAAAAACGAGAAAAATTAACAAATTTATGTGTCCAATTTTAATCGAGCTTCTATCTCTAATGCCAAGAAATAACCAAACTTCCCCACGTTAGAAAAATTCCACCCACAATTTTATATTTTTTATTTTCCTTTTATTTTTCCAAAATCTCCAAAACTATCTCCAAATCTATTAGAAAACACCTATTTTCTACTAATTTTCTCCCATTTTTCCAGGAATTGCACGAATCTCAACAAGTCTTCGCTATAAAGCGTTGGGACAGCAAGGCCACGTTTTTCCACTCAAACGTCCATCCATCCTCCACCACCAGCGATTTGCCCTCAATCAACGTGGAAACGGAACTCGTCAACATTTTCAAATCCATCGACGTCTCCCGACTGGATGCCGAAATTCATATAGAACGTGCCGGACTCAACCCCATCAAATCGGAGAGGAAACTGTTTCTCCAACCCAAGAAAAAGGCCGTGGTCAAGGTAGAAATCAAGAAGAAGGCGAAACCCCTCGTCCTGCGACACAATCAACACATCGAAGCCGGCGTGATGAAGCGTTTCGACGAAAATGGTGTCCAAGACGAGGAGGAGGAAGGTGGCAACGACGATGTCGAATATCTGCCACAGCCGGAAATCAAGAAAAAGAAGAAGTCCGTGACCATGAAAGACAAAACACCCAAAAAGCGTCCCGCATCCGAAAAGGAGGAAATTCCGCCCAAAAACCTTCGCGATCGTCCCGTCCAAGACAAGGAACAAGATCTGCCACAACCGGAAGTTAAGACGAAGAAGAAATCCGTCAAGTGTGAAGGGAAGAACACCGCCCAAAAAACAGCGGGGTCGTCCCCCATCCTGCAAGAAGACGGAGAAGAAGATGGTCAAGAAGAATCTTCTTCTTGACCACCATGTAAATAGAATTTAATGCAATAATTAACATACTAATATGCATAAAAATTTACACTTGAAAAATATCAGGGATAAAAATAAACCGTCACAACGAATGTAACCAAGGGGTGAAAGAAGTGTGTTATCCGAATTTTTTTTCAAATTGTTGCATGTATGCAATTTGACCTTTAAATGACATTTCATGACCTTTTGACCTTGATGGGTGTGACCTACAGTGCCCATCTTCGAACTCGTCCTCTCTATTGACGTTAGGAGTTTACGTTCAAAATTTCAAGTGTCTATGTCTTTTCGTTCAAAAGTTATCGGAGCTACGGACAGACAGACGGACGGACGGACGGACAGACAGACGGACATAACGATCTTATAAAGGGCTTTCACCCCTTAATAATGCATATTAATTTCTACGGAACGGAATATTCCATGAAATTTATTAGTAACAAATTAATTGTCATAAATTGGTTGTTGTAATCCTTTCTAGTTTCAAAAATAAATTGAGCCAAATATTAAAAAAATGTTAAACGCTTGTAGTGGAATTTATTTGTTTAAAAGTTTCAGGACAAATCTACATAAGCTCACTTTGTCAAGAGAAGTCCAAGCACTTACAATGCAAGTCTTTTACGTGTACAACTCAGATCTGGTTGAGGCCAATTTTATTTTATTCACCACAAAAAATAAGCAAACCCATATTTTTTAGTTTTTCATAATGCGCTAATTTGAGCGCGAGGTGCGAATTTTTAAACATTTTTAAGCCAAAACCTCGGTTTTTAAAAATTCTGTAAATTTTCGAATGTTAGTGCGAATCCAAAAATTCGAAAACATGTCTCTTCAGAATGACTTACTTGACTTATACAGGGTTCCGTTTTTCCCGTCAAAATTTACTTCAATTACATTAGCCGAGTCATCCGAATTATCCTATTATTAAGGGGTGAAAGCCCTTTATAAGATCGTTATGTCCGTCTGTCTGTCCGTCCGTCCGTCCGTCCGTCCGTCCGTCCGTCTGTCTGTCCGTAGCTCCGATAACTTTTGAACGAAAAGACATAGACACTTGAAATTTTGAACGTAAACTCCTAACGTCAATGGACAGGACGAGTGCGAAGATGGACACTGTGACATCGTCACAGTGACGAAAAGTGACGAAAAAGTGTCACTTGTCAGTTTTGGCATGTGACACATCATTTTTAACTAATTTTCAACGAGGAATTCGAAAATTCAGGTCATTTTGTGTTTGGACGTCACCTGTGACGATGACATCGTCACAGTGACGAAAAGTGACGAAAAAGTGTCACTTGTCAGTTTTGACATGTGACACATCATTTTTAACTATTTTTCAATGTCAAATTCAATGGTGACCTCCATTTTGACCTCAGAGGTCATGTAAAGGTCATAGGACATATCTATTTCAATTTCAACTGAAATTTAACCCCGAATTCAATGGTGACCTCCATTTTGACCTCAGAGGTCATATAAAGGTCACATAAGGGTTATCAACTGTTAAATTTGACACAAATAAGACACAAAAGTCGAAAACACGTCAGAAGTGTCAATCTTAACAAATTTTCGAACAATTTGATATTCACATTGACGTATGACACTCCTTTCACCCCTTGGTTACATGCGTTGTAACGGTTTATTTAACACCAGTTTATTTTAGTTTGGCGTGAAAATCATTCAACTATCCAAATTTAATAATTTGAATGCCAAAATAAAATGAACTGGTGTAAAATAATAGGATAAGTCGGTTTCGGTGCACATAGTCACCAGGTCATCATAGGTCAAAGTTATGAAACCCACACTAAAAAAAACGGTCTACAAAAACAAGAAAAATGCAAACCAAGATAAATGCCTCGACTGGGGTTCGAACCCTCGACCCCAAAAATTGGAGACTTGCCGTGAAGATCACTGTGCTATATGGGCTGCTTGGGGGGAGGATGGGTAAATAACTCGACTCACAAGCCTCCCATTTAGCTCGTTACATTAAAAAAACCACTCTAGAAACGGTACGGTAATAAATACTTATTTAAACTACTTAAGTAACTCAATAAAAATGGCTGGTGACGGTCCTATCGACCCACCCATCGCGGGCTTCGTGCTCGCCGTCGCATACGCTATTTTTCCCCATCTCAGTGACCTCAAAGCGCGGAATTTCGACGCATCCTATCCAGAGGTCGACACCGACAAATTTTCGGCGGCGGCGGCGCCAGTTTTCGGTGATTTTTCGGCGGCGTCGCAATGTTAAAGGAATAGGAAATCAAATTTTTCGGCGACGACGGCGCGTAAAATACTACCGGCGTTCGGCGGCGTACGATCGGCGGCGTCGACCTCTGATCCTATCCCGACGGAACAGAGCGAATAAACGAGCACGAACACGACGTGCTGACCCGCCTCGATAAAATCCTCTCCTCGCCACGCTGTCTTCTTCCCGAATAAGATGCCATGGTCATCTCGACAAATGCGTGCCAAGACCTATCTCCAGGCCACTCCGAGGTTCCCACCGTTTTTAGAAAAGTACGGCAACTACCTGAAGGCCGTCGAGTTGCAAAGATTTTTGGTGAGAGGGGACGATTCTTTGATGATGAATGAGGTTACGACGATTCTACAAAAGTGCGCTAATCTCTTGGAATTTGCGTTTTTACCATACAAGGCAACCTTCTGGGAAGATCAACAGGTGGGAATTTTCCGCAAAAATAAATTGTACATGTTTCCCGATCATGTTCTTTTTTACGTGCAGCTCATCCCTTTTCTGCAAGCGATGCGGTGGACGCCGACTTTACCTGCGAACGACTTCTCGGCGAATTTGCAACCTCTCAAGGTCACCACGTTAGTGTTGCAAATTTGTCATCCCCGACATCTCGCAGTGGTCATTGCATCCTCGCCAAGTCTGCGAAATCTGACCTTCCTCGCCCCCAAAGCAGAAACGCGGACGGATGCGGAAGTTTTGGCAAACTGGGAAGACTTCCAAGATGTGGTGGGGGGCATGAATCAGATTACAACCTTGGCTCTTCTCTCCAGGATTGGGATCTCATCCCCAACGTTGAAATGGAAAAGTATGCAATTACATACATAAATATGCGAATTTTACTCGAAAGTAATCAAATTTCTGCTAAAAATGACGTATGTAATTCTGATCCCCAATTGTTCTTTGCAGTTTGAGAACGGTCAAACTTTTCGTGCGAGGAATCTCCAACGTCCCCACAGTCTCAGAGGATCACTTACACCACGTGTATCCTCAAGTATAAAAAAATATATCATTTCGATGCGAAACGAGTCCTTAAATTAATCCAAGTCTTCATTTTCTTAAAGGTGACCACGGGCCAGATTTATTTGCGTCTGCCACGCCAGAATTTGAGAGAGAACGTTGCCATCAACCGTTTCTTCAATCCACGACCACCGTCCTTCTTCATTACCACGACGAACTTCCAGTGGTCAGAGCCGGGCGTTATGAATCGTTAGAAAACGCAGTTGAATTGTCCAAAAATATGAGTTTATCCCAAAAAAGAAGTACGTACATATTTACGAAAGAAAACGTCAAAAGCATTCTATGCTCAATTTTTAATCAAATTTTTGATCATATTTATTCGTCTAAAATCGGTGAAATCTTGGTAAAGTTTATGTATTCAAATGTGGCTAAAATACATTTGCACACAATTTTTATAAAATAGTTATATGAAAAAATGTAGTCAAATCGCATCAAAATCTCCACAAGGTTTGACCATTATTCCTCATCAGTTTAAAAACGACTCAACTAATTGTAAGTACTTGGCTTAAATAATTAATTGTATTTTTTTAGCACCTCGGTGGAAGGAAGCGTCGCCTTCTTCAACCCCACGGACTGTCTCGTCAATGAGAATGTCACAAACCTGCAAATCTTCCACGTGCAAATGATCGCATTTAACCGACCGAAAATCGACTGGATACCACTCACAAATTTCCCAAAGGTTTTTTTTCCAAAAGTGAAGATTAATAAGAACGAGTGTTCAACAATATTGTATGCAAATGTAATGTGTATCAATTCTTTCATCGTTTCCCATCCAAATATGATTAAAATGGGAGGCAAATGTTTATGACACGCGTTAAAAAGGGGGTGCAACGTGTTTGCTGACAAGTGGGGAGGGTCTGAAAAATCGGCATTTTTTAGTGACATAATTTATGGACGTTCCCTTAGTTGGAGACTTTTTTAATATACATATTTTTAACCCAAACTATTTACTATTTGGCACTTTCATTTCAAGTAAATGAAAATTTGTCATACAAATTGTATCATTACATAATTGTAATATTTGTAATTTTAATACACTTTCAAATAATAAAGCCTCAATATTCTCGCCTCGCCCGATCCATTGAATTTTGTCAAGCGGGACGATCAAAACGAGGAGTCAGGCACATGTTCAAATTTCCATGCAAAGAGTAAACAAACACAATTAAAATTTTATTTAGCACTAGTCTCCAAAGCCCGCAAGGCGGGCTCCAGCATAGACAGGATTTTAATTCATAAGTCAGAAACGTTTGCTGACAATGGAGGCGCAAACCATGTTCAGCCCAGATAATTTTTTGACCTTATTAGTTTGAAAGAGCAAGTCTTTACAAACAACATTTGGTTCGGCACTTGGGCAGATGCGCAAATTTCAGCACGTTATGGGCGCCGCAAGTTCGCAAAAACGCACAAAGTTGAGCTCGCGCTGGGCATTGTTCGAAAAATCATGCGTTTTTGCGAACTTGCGGCACCCATAACGTGCTGAAATTTGCGCATCTGCCCAAGTGCCGAACCAAATGTTGTTTGTAAAGACTTGCTCTTTCAAACTAATAAGGTCAAAAAATTATCTGGGCTGAACATGGTTTGCGCCTCCATTGTGAATGACATCCATACAAAACAAAGCGCAACAGAACGTGGACCTTTAGCATGTACGATTTGCAAAAATTCCTAGGCCTGAACTAAATTTGTCCAATTAGAGAACTTATGAGTAATAGCGTGGCGGCGGAAGCAGGGGGACAGGGGGACGTTGTTCCCTCAGAAATTTAGCAAAATCGTATCTTGCCCCCCTTCTCCTATCCCAGAATGTTAATGTCCCCACATGTCCACCCAACTTCCGCCGGCATTGAGTAACATAACAATAACCCGGAACAAATCGTTACGTAAGCAGTAAGAGATAAATTGACGACTCTAAGGGGTGTGTCGAGGTTACCTGATGACTTTAGCGTGTGTCCCAAGTTATGTGAGGACTATAAGTCATTTGCCTACATCACAGGTTTAGCAACATTTAAATGCACGTAGGTCACACGTCATGTGATAAATCTATGTAACTGTATTGAGGCCAGAAGTCACCTATGGGTATGGTTAGGTCATAGGTCAGGTGATCCCTCTAAATAATGTGTCCAGGTTATAGGTTCATAAGCCAACCATAGCGAGTTTGCCCAGGTTCAACTGTGGGTCAACTGTGACCATAGGGGGTGTGCACATGTTACGGCTACTGCCGCCTATAGGGAGTGTGCGCACGTTATGGGCCAACTGCTGACTATAGGGAGTGTGCACACGTTATGGGCCAACTGCTGACCAGGCTTCACTCACTCTCTGCCTGGACTTTTCCCATCTCGTTATGTGAGGTTGCCAGCTAACTTCAAATATTTTTGAATGAATGGAGGGGGACATACGCACAGAATGTGGCACTATCTTTGACCAATTATCTCAGTAATTGTCTAACAACAATATGTTAGACACATATCGAAAAAATTAATTTTGAGTTTTGTACTTTTAAGTCCCTTTTTGATGACGCCTTATGTGAACGTCCCCTTGTGACTCGCAGTACGCAGTTCCACATAGTTAAAAGTCTTATGGCATTCTGGTCGGACTGGAGATACAGTGGTCCGGGCAGAGAGTGAAGGCTGCTCCTGACTATAGGTAGTGTGCACACGTTATGGGCCAACTACTGACTATAGGCAGTGTGCACACGTCCCAGGTCCACTATTGACTATAGGCAGTGTGCACACGTAACGGGTCAACTGCCGACTAAAGGAGCAGTTCCCAGGTCACGGACTAAATCTTAGGGGTATACAAATTTTTCTATTAGTGACGTATCCGGTTGTTCTGGGGCCATTCAACGTTTGGACACTGTCGGCGAAAAGCGCCCTCTAGCGGAGAAAATACAACCTAGTACCTAAAAATGTTGATAGGTGGCGCTCGGTGAAAATTTTTAGGACTATGGGGGTAAGGTGATACAGCCATCGAGTGAAGCGCTTGGTTCAAAAGGTAAAGGTAACACACACACACACACACACACACACAACTTTGCACAATTCTTGTTATGATTATTATTATTGTCCTAAGCCAATAAAATGGAAGGGGTAGACGCAGTTCTTCTTGAACCACAGCATCGGTTCTGTCATTCATGTCGGGGGCATGTGTGGGGGACAATTTGTGGGTGTGTCACTCCTCCGTACACTGAATTTAAGAAATATACCACCTTGCCGTACATCGAAAATCAAAAGGTAAACGAATAATTCTTATCTTTCTCTAAGCAAAATTGCGTCACTTTTTTACCGTATTTTTTGCTAGTACACTTTCGGAAGCAAGTACACCTCCAGGGAGGACCAAGGCGAGTTCATCTTTGTCCAGACCAAGAAAAACCCCGGAAATTTGGCCGAAATTACATGTTCAGGGGGAAATTACTGGATCACACCAGCCGGCGTAAGATAAGTGATTAGTTTTATTGCAAAGTAATGGAGTAATAAACATTTTATCATTATATTATTTATTCTTGTAATTTGTTTTAGAAACGAGTTGTTTTTGTCAATGATAACCCGTTGGAGAAAAACTGTCGCACGAGACTCAACTATGGAGACAAGATCGCTTTACTTGGCAAAGTTCGACCGAGACGTGGACCGGGGCTTGCGACTAAACCTGAATCTCTTGATGGATTCTTTGTAATTAAAGTAGGATTTCAATATATTATGGTTTTTATAGGTTAATGATGAGCGAGCGAACTAATTTATTTCTGATGATTAGGAAGGTTATCGCGCTATTGGATGGCAAGAGGGAGAGGATGATTCGTGCACGTCAGAGGACGAGGATCCAAGAATGTCAGATGACGAAAATTCGAACATGTCAGATGACGAGGAGAACGTAGCCGCCTTCAAGGCGTTACTATCTTAATAATATGGAAATTGCAATTATTTTGCAATTTTCAACCAATTGGAAAATTGGGGTCAGAAATCAAGGCAGCGGCCAAACTCTAGTTCAAAATTATTTTAAAAATTATTTCCAGTCATTTTAAACCAAAGGTTCAGTCACAACATGAATATATCAAAATTTGCAAAAAATTCGCACATTTTGGCATTTATCTCGAAAACTGGCTAAGCGCCCCCTATTTTTATTACGGATTATTGATCTACTCAATTTTACGCAACTTTTAAGGTATCTAACTTGAAAATCGTTAGAGCGCGAAAAAAACACTATTTCATTGTATATATCTATCTTAAAAATAGAAAAACGTGCAATTGTCAAAAAATTTTGAATAAAAAATTACACTGTTGAATACACATACTAAGCTGTCCTCTCCATACCCGTCGTCATCATATACCGATTTGTTGATTAGCTTATCGAAATGAACACAACCATTTTATATTTGTAGATTTTAGCCTTATGTAGGAAATCATGAAAATTGTAATTGTGACTACCAACATCGTTATCAACGGAAATTTTATTTTAAAATCATACGTTTAACGAGATTTTTAACCCCTTTTGAACTTATTTATTTAAATAAATATTTTACTCTAAAAAAGGTGAGTCGATATGAGTTGAGTTTGAGTCGTTAACATTTGAGTTGAGTCGAGTTTGAGTTGAGACTAATTTGAGTCGAGTTGAGTTTGAGTCGGTGATTTTTCTTATTGAGTTGAGTTGAGTTAACCCTCAACTCAGCTCAACTCAACTCATTGGCAGTCCTAGGCAAAGGTAAAATTTGCTCCAGTTTGAGTAAAAATCTTTCAAATTTGAATAAGTTTTAACTTTTCTTGGGTAAGTTTTACTCAATAGTTGTGTTAGTGGCAATTATATGTACTCAAAATTGAGTATATCTTAATCAAATTTATTTAGGGTGTACAAATAAAGCCCTCTGTACGTCCAGGTAAACAGGAACCATAGTTTTGTTGGGTCTTGAGATTTTGCATTTATAATTCAAAAAGCCGAAAGGAATCAAAAATCAATGACTTTAAAATACGACGAAAATTATATTTTAGAATAAACCTTGAATGTTCAAATCAGGCACATACATGTTTAGATGGCTTGAAATATTGCAAAAATCCGGAAAGTTATGGTTTTCTTAAAACTTTTGGTTGAAAATTACGAATGCATATATCGCCTTTTGATATTGTGATCCTATTTGAGTAATCAAGAAAGTGCCAAGGCACGCAATGACACGCTGTCATTTCTTTTTTTATCTCATTTCCAAGTTCTAGGAATTTGGTAAGTTCACGTGTGTTAAATATCAAAGCAACCCTGCAAACTGTAATTTTGTGTCATTTTAAGAATAAAACAAGACCACGGTTACATTGAACTAATTAAAGTCTTCATAATCATATCATGTTGATATTTAGGTAATCCGTTTGTTATGGATGTACATACTTATTTTTCCGGGGAATTATGCAGAGGAGGGAGTGTTTCAGAACTAGCTTGACTTTATTGTGAATCTTTCTCCTGTATGGAGAAAGAAACGGTAAAAAGTCGAATAAAACCCGGTTTTCTTAGAAGGTTCCGATTCTGAATCCCCTACATAGAAGCAAAACATTACTACTGCACTAGTAATTTTTAAGCTTTATGCTACCCTGGTAGTATACAGCTTAAAAATAAACTTTCAGGTCAACGCCTGTGACCCTAGACATGGCCTGCTTTAGAATTTTAAAAAATAAAAATGTCATAGAACCACAATCTTATATTGACTGCTACCCTGCAAATTTCTAGCAGATTTTCTATCGAACAATTTATTCTGCTACCCAATGTATAGGAATCGATTACTAATTACAGATAACCCTGATAACCTTGATTTATATATTTCTTAACATAATAAGGATTCACAGTTGCACGCATTAGGCCTACATAAATATTTGGTTGAGTAAAGAAACCCACTGCGAGCGCCAAAGGCGCGAGCGGCTTGGGGCGCCTAAATCTTTTGCCCGGGTAAGATTTTTGGCAAGATCGGGGCCTGCCTATGTGACACATGTTAAAGGGGGAGGGGGGGTCTAGAAAATCCCGATTTTTGCGTGACATAATTTATGGATCTCCCCTAAGTCACCGTCCTATCCCGCTTCCGTCAGCTTGTAAAAATTCGTAGAGGACTTCCTAATCGTCATATTTTGTCAGGGCGGACAAGTCGTCGAGGCCTGTCAAATAAAAATAGAAATTATGAAAAAAATTCAAAATATTATTATGGCAAATAAATATTAACATGGCGTCAATCACAAAAAATTTGATAAACCTCAAAGGAAGAAATTTATCGTGAATTCAATTTACGCTGGTCTTGGTAACATTGTGAAATTCATAAATTCTATAAACTTTCAAATTTTTACAAAATCTTACAACTATCCTCGAGCTTCTAAATTTTTGCAAATTTATTCAGATCAAGGCGTCTCTTTATTTTTCAAACGTTATTTTACAAGACGCACGGATTTTGTAATTGTTTTTGACATTATGCAATTTTATGGTCAAAATTTATGTCAAAATTCCATTTAAAAAAGCAGAGGTGGGCAAGATCATTATCTGAGATAGCAGATCAAGATCAAAGATCAAGATATTATCTTGATCATTGATCTTCCGCCAAAGCTTTTCATCTTGATCTTGATCTTGCACTGTTGGATCTTATATCTTGATCTTGATCTTGTCCTGTTATGGAATGTATAAGAAGATAAATATATGTTTATGTTATGAGGATAAAACCATGCACTGACGCAGAAAAACCCGTCATACCGCGTTTCTTGAATTAGAATGGATATGAGGGTTCTTATTGGTTGTAGTCCAGTCGTCTTATTTTTGCTAATGGATGGATAATTCTATTCTCTTTTTATTTATAAAATAGTCAATCTACTTAATTTCATCATTTTGTTTTGTTGATAAATCGTTAATCACTTACTCATTAGCAGATTTTGGAAAAATTTTAGTTAACCGAGGGTCTCCAATGGGGTAATGTGATACGTCATTTTGTTTGTCTCGGCGAGCTGAACAAGAATATCCAAGCGCGAAAGAGCGGAAACGCCCCGTTCAAAAGTTATGGCGGGGTAAAGTTTGTAATTTTTATTGCATTTCTGGACGTTTCAGAGAATTCTAAGACTTTGTCTCACTTTCCCCCGTGGCGGGAAATTTTTGGGGTACCGTGAGATTTGCGTTTTTTTAGCGGGGCGGGGCCTAACCAACACCTTTTACTAGCTAGCACTGCTAGCTAGCTCTTCTAGGTAGCACTTCTAGGTAACTTTCCTAGGTAGCACTTTCCTCGTATTCTATCTAACCTAACCTAACCCAACCTCGCTTCGCTCGCTTAAATACCAACAATACCCCAATATTGGACATAATTACTAAAAGTGCGGGGCCCCTGCTTTCGCACTTTCTAGGCTCACTTCGCTCGCGGTCTAAAAGTGCGGGGCCCCTGCTTTCGCACTTTCTAGGCTCACTTCGCTCGCGGTCTAAAAGTGCGGGGCCTCCACTATCCAATTTTCTAGGCCCCCTGCGGGGGTTAGGTTAGCTTAGGTAATTTCGCCCCAAAAAAATTCCCGCCATGACGGAAAATGATTACAATTCGATATTCTACAATAAAAACTTGAAATCTCATGTTACCCCAAGAATCTCATTTCGCCCCAAAAAGAGTCCCGCCATGGGGGAAAGTGAGACAAAGTCTTAGAATTCTCTGAAACGTCCAGAAATGCAATAAAAATTACAAACTTTACCCCGCCATAACTTTTGAACGGGGCGTTTCCGCTCTTTCGCGCTTGGATATTCTTGTTCAGCTCGCCGAGACGAACAAAATGACGCATCACATTACCCCATCGGAGACCCTCGGTTAAGTAAAGTCTAGCCGAATTTAAATTGGTTTAAAAACGTTTATTTTAAGTAGAAACAAATTACAATTCCTGATTAAATTTAAATTTATACATTATCATAGATTTTTTGAACAATGCTGACATGGATGGATACAAATAAATAATGATATGAATGTGGAATTAATTTGTTTCATTTAAAATACATAAGTTCATTCCATTTACATGATTCTCAACCATCCATGAAAGCGGGAGCTGAAAGTTGGAGGTGGAAATAAAATTTACACAATAACACATTGCCGAGTTGTTTCTTACATGCAGCAGTCTGCTCTATTCACTATTAATTAATTAATTAATCTAATCACCTAAATAAACGTTGAGTTTATTTGCGATTTATTTATTTTCACCATGTCCTCTTCCTCCCTCCCTCTCGAACGATTTTACATCCATCCTCACAACACTATTTGCCGTTACTTTTCCCGTTCGTTTAACGTGTGGCGGACGCGGTTGAGTTGGATGATAAGGTCAAGATCAGGGTGGGAAGCTGGCCTTAATGATTCGTCCACGGTGAGCGAATGGTTCCAAGATGCGAAGAACGAGTTGCTTGGCGATTACGTGGCGTCAATTTGGGGACTAAAGAAGACTTTGGCGCAAGTCAAGAAGGATTGGGCGGTCGTGATTAGTAAGTAATTAAATTAGGTCACAAGTGTACTTATTTATTTATTGGGGAGAAATTATTAGTTACAAAAATTGCAACGTTAGAAATACTGTTCAAATTACAAAATTTGTAATTTTACACCAATTTTACAGGTAGTCTTCCCCACTACTTGACTCTGGTGGATGGTAAAATGTATCCTGGCCCGTTGGATGGTTCCTGGGTGGCAGATGACCTCGTGGACGTCGCCCTGACCCAGCGGCTCGTTGAGGAGGGAGCAGAAGTAGAAGAAATCGCCATTAAGGAGAAAAATTGGCAGCCAGGTGAACTTTTTTATATAAAAATAAAAAATAATTATTTTGACTACAATTTATGATTATTTATGCAATGTCGCAGGGTCGGAGAATCGTGTAATCAACGTGATCAGCCCCTACTTGTATTGTTACTTAGCAGAGAGGGCGGGGAACGTTTTGAAAGAGCCTTTTATCCCGAAACCACAAAAGGTTTGTGTTTAAAATACTGATATTTTTGTCATTTGATGCATATTTGAACCATAATCATGATACCTAAGCTTACCTTAAAAATCGAACTAGTTGAAATTTTGGTAAAAATTGACGGATTTCAGGATATCTACGATTACAATCACCTCTTACATTTCCACTCCGACAAAGTCGACAACTATGCCTCCAGCCTTGACGTGAGGATGGCAACGGCAGCACAAATGCCCCCGGCTGAGATGACATGGCCAGCCAGGGAATGGGACCCATATTATCAAATACTTCCCGCTGACGTTTCAATCGACTCGGATGGAACGTCACACTTCACGTCGTATGTGAATGGTCTAAATCCATCCGAGCATGGGGACTTGTACGCAACTCTGGAGCAAGTTTTGAGCAAGATGATTCCACTGTTTGAAAAGACGCTGACCGAAATCCGAGTCCAGAGACGGGAGGTTGAACAACCTCGGACGCGCAGTGAGATTGCGAAGCAGGCAAGTCTTCCTCCTGCCGTCACCTTGGGCGGAAGGAAGATCCAAGTCGTGGTTAGGATGGCGACAACAATTTTAACTCCGGACAATCCGAGGCATCCGGGTTAGTGGGAAATATGTTAAGAATTGTGGTGGTATTGCTAAATAAATATGATCACAAATAGTCTTCATGATGATCTGTTAAAAAAATGCAAACAAATGTGTTTCAAAAACCTTTACGTGTAAAATTTTACTTTTTGAAGAATTTTAAAAACTCTGTGTAGGCGGACGGTGGCACATTGAGGGGATGGCGAACGAACAAATCGTCGCCATTGGTCTGCACTACTTCTCCAATGAGAACATTACCAAGTCAAAATTGCGTCTTGCTCCTACTCAGCGGGGATGGGATGGGGTTACGAACGCCTTTGAGGATGGGAACAATTCCTTCGCGATCGAATCGGTGCCGGGGAGGAGCGTTGTATTTAAGAATTCCATCTCTCACCGTGTGGCTCCTTTTGAACTGGATGATCCCAAGAAATCCGGACATCTCAGAATCCTTGCGTTTTTCCTTGTCGATCCAGGTACTAGGATTTTGTCCACAGCTCGCGTCCCATGTCAGCAATGGACGTGGTACATCGCCCAAGTGAAGGATGTCTTGGTGAACTTTTTACCTCCAGAAATGGTCGAGCTCGTGGTCTCATTTCTACCTCCGGGAGGAGATAAGTATTTGGACCCCGAGGATGCGAAATGTTTCCAGGAGCAGATGCGAACTGAGAGGATGGCACGAATGACGGGAGATACGTACTGATCTAGCCTTCCATAAACTTTTTACACGCCGGCAAAATCACCGAGTGGATAGCGGTGACACTATTTTATTAAATTTATTTACTCGTTATTATTGATCAGAATTGCAATACTTATACAATTAGTTGATGTTGAATTTTTTACATGTGTACATAAATATATATATGAACATATGTAAGTATTAGGAATGATGATGTGTAGTTGAATATACAGTTGAAAAAAATTTACTCGTATTTTAGATCACAATTTTTGCCTCGCTTAATACTTTGTCACTTTTTGGCGATTTCGTTGCTCGGTAAATTTGTAACCTGGTCATGTATGTATTCATGATGCAAGAATTAATTGAATTTCTGGTAAATAAAATGGATTAGTAATTGTAATTGATGGTACTATGTAGTAGTCCAAATATGTATGTATGTACATATGCATTTTACTTTGGGTGAGTCATAAGAATTTACTGTAAAGCCGTGAGAGGATAAATATGTACATACTTAATAAGCACCAGAGCTGGCCAAATTACTTGGAAGTCAAATTACAAATTACAATTACAATCTTAACATTGCTTCAATTACAATTACAAATTACAATTACTCAGGAAAACTCAATTACTAATTACAAATTACAATTACTTCTCTAAAAAAAATTCGCTTCAATTACAATTACAAATTACGTAATTGAATTACATCACAAATTACAATTACATTTGAGATTTTTTAATAAAAATTCATCATTTAATAGTCAAATAATTTCAATACTTGTTCACTTTTAACAATGTAAATGCCTTTACCTCAAAATTTCCACCTAGAAAAAATAATTTGCAAAGGCAAATTTTGCAAGTAAAAGCATTTATCAGTATGTGTATTGTTCGAAGTGAACAAGTTGAAATTATTTGAATATTAAATGATGAATGTTAATTAAAAAAATCTCAATTATAATTAGTAATTTGTCTTATAATTCGATTGCGTAATTAGTTGAATTTACTTATTTTCATGAACAAGGCCTTTATGCATGAAAAAGCACACTAGTAATGCATTCTGATGTAATTTTAAAAAATTGCGAATGCGAAAGAATATTTATTTGAAACCAAAAAGTGAAAGGCAGTGAAATATTCACGTATGAAATACGACAAATTTAACAAAAACGTTGAATTTTGATTTGTTCTACTCACGATAGATGGTGATTTAGTAATTGTAATTGAAAAAGTAATTGAATTACAATTACGCCATGCTGAAATGTGCAATTACAAATTATCAATTACACTTAGTTCAATTACAAATTACAATTACATTTCTTGAATGAAGTAATTGAAATTACAAATTACAATTACTAATTTGTAATTTGTAATTGTAATTGTAATTGTCAATTACTAATTTGGCCAGGTCTGATAAGCGCATACACAAATATGTATGTAAGTCTTAAAAAGATCCCATTCAACCTCGATAATCCATTCCATTCAACTTAACAATTACTTATCCTTAAAATTATGCAATTCTCATGCCTACTTGACTAAATCGTCAGGTATATAATACATACTTTTTCAAGTTAACCCCCACCCACTATCTTTCGTACATTCACAAGTTGTGAATCACAACCATTCCGAACGAAGAACAAGTCCAATTTATGTGCATACATGCATAAATTCGAAGTTTGAAGTAAAACTGAACACACGGATTATAAAAAAGTATGTATTTCCTTCAATATTTAGTTTGAAGGATAATAATGATTTCTTACATTATATTGGTTTTTATTATTCCGGAAATAACAATTATATGTACGTATTCATATTTGTTTTTGATTATGTAAAGTGTGTATCACAGTTGCTTGCACGTAAGTTTGTACAGAAGGTACGTATGTAAGTACACGCACAAAATGGTAATACAATTTATACATATGCTTATTATGTAAATGTGTGTGCATTCTTGATTACACGTATGTCAAGGAGCATAAAATTATTTTACAAATTACTTATTTAGATCCGCATAATGAACAAGAGTGGAATGAATGAAAAGAGTCAAAATATTCGGGTTCAAATTTCGTCCACCACTTCCCATACCAAGACCTGTTAAATTTTAATGAAAAAAAAACGTTGTTGGTAAAGGTTTGTTTTAAATTTGTATTGAAAAAATAAGTGAAATCTTGTACAAATATTGTCTTCCGGCGGATTAACATACTGCTCAAAAACGGGAGGATTTTTGATGTACTCCTGTAAACAAAAAAATTAATAAAAGTCGTAGTTACATGTTGAATGAAATAAAGCACTTCAAACTAATGGAAAGATTTGTTTATTGGAGTAAATTTTCAGTGGCGACCGGTTTCATAATCTTTCATCAGGCTGCATACATACAATGTGAAAAAATAGTAAAAAATTAAAATTAAATTATTGTAAAGTTATTGTAAAATTATTGTAAAATATATAAAATGACTTGATACCTTTACAAATTGGTAAATTTGATAAACGAAGATCTCTACTAGATAAAATAGTTCAAGTTCATCCCTAAAAGTATATATGAATTAAATTCTAATCATGACAATGCAAAAATGTATAATAATAAAACGTCGCTACTAAATACAGTAAAATTTACCTGAAACGGAGTTTTTCTTAAAATTATTTATAAAAAAATATTTAGTATTTAGAATCGGAGACTAAAAATCCATGTGATTGTGTCAAAGTAAAAAGACGGAGTAGTTTATTGAGCAGAAGTTGGCGTCCTCGGTGATGATACGTACATACATATACATATTACATACTAAATATTATTACACAGTTGTCTCGTAAGGGAATTTACCTTTCTGTAACTTACTTTAACATTGACAAGGGAACATACCGAGGTGTCCAACGAGTTAAGGGTCGACACCTATACCAAAATGACCACAATACATGACTTATTAAACAAACTGAAGGAATTTCCGTGTAAAATTCACTTTTCGTCAAGTTGTGACGATATTTGTGACGAGCGCATGACCATCGGGTTACCAGCGGGAGAGGTCGGCCGCTGAACGACCAGGTCGAACACAGAGAAGCGTCGTCTTCTCCACATCGTCTTTAGAGATTTCAAATTCTTTCAAATTGTGAAAAAGATTTGAAATTTCTTCAAAATTTCAGAAATTTCCTCAAAATTTCAAAATTTCCTCAAAATTTCAAAATTTCCTCAAAATTTCAAAATTTTCTTAAAATTTCAAAATTTTCTCAAAATTTCAAAATTTTCTCAAAATTGTTTCAAAATTTCGAGATGTTTTCAAAATTTGAAAGAATTTGAAATCTCTGAAGACGACGACGCTTCTCTGTGGTCGACCTGATCGTTCAGCGGCCGACCTCTCCCGCTGGTAACCCGATAGCCACGCGCTCGTCACAAATATCGTCACCACTTGACGAAAAGTGAATTTTACACGGAAATTCCTTCAGTTTGTTTAATAATTCATGTATTGTGGTCATTTTGGTATAGGTGTCGACCCTTAACTCGTTGGACACCTCGGTATGTTCCCTTGTGAGTGTATTTAACATGTGTGTATAAATACGATCACTCTCCTTCATAATAAACTCAATGGTGAGACTATTTAGCGTTGGTAAAGATTTGTAATATGGCATTACAATATAGGATCTATGTAAAATGGAATCATAGAAATACTTAACAATTACGTAATGAGCTGAACCAGACCAAGCGTACTACAAAACTCTTTTCCATATTTAGCAGAAGCAGAGTGAGACTCGGACTCTGGTGGGTATCCACCACCACCGCTGACTGTCGATTTGACAGTGCCGTATGGTGGTCTGTCTCACGTGTCACTTCCTGCAAATTGTTGACCGGAAATATAAATTCAAAAAAGCTTAAGTTTTAAATTTTGGGCGAATTGGTAATTCAGCATCACAAATTTTAATAACTTCAATTATATGTCTCATTTTCTCATGAGTGACAATAGTTTGTTACGGCTCTTGCAAAAATAAGTCCCTCCCCCAGAAACGTTGACCCAAAAAAACTCATGGTTCCCACACTTTGCAGTCTGACAACAAAAGCTTAAAATGTTCGTCTTTCGAAGGAGAAAAATCTGGCATTAGGTTGTCAGACTGCAAAGTGTGGGAACCATGAGTTTTTTGAGGATTTGTATGTATGTAAAAAAACCGCGAATTTTCAAATTTTGAAACTCGTGATGCATAAAAATGTTCGTATTCAAGGGGGAATTAGAATGTCAAATACAAGTCGATGTCTAATTCTTACTGTACGCTGTATACATTGACTTTCTCATTTTTTCAAATTCTATTCCCCCATTTTTGGAGGGGGGTTAGATGCACATATTTCAAAAATCGTTATGTTATATATATCCTTGCACCAGGAATTCAATTTACAATTTTTTAAATTAAATTCGGTGACATCGACGCGAAAAGGATTTGTACAGTACACTTGGTCTTTATCTAATCCTACTTAATCTAATATCTGGACAAACCTTTAAGGGAATTTTCAAGTGAGCATGTTCCGTGCAGTAGGCATAGTTTGGAGCCTTTTCCAATTTTCTGTTGACCGAATTCGCCAACTTTCCACTATCCCGACCCCACTCAAGTTTGGTTAAGTAGTCCCAAAAGTTTTTGGGACCGGAATGCTTCCCACTATCTGAGATGGTCAACTGGGTGAATAAATTGGTGCTCAAATTATGTGCGAGCAAGACCAAAAAAAACTTGGTCTTCGGGGTCATATTTATCCTTCGGACTGGAACAAAAATGTGTAAATGATTACACTTAATTAATTAATTAGTTCCATTTCAGCTTTGTGAGACACGTTTCGAAAATCTCGCAAATTTAGCATAAAGCTGTTCTGATTTTGCAAGATTTCGCAAAAAAATCGTGGAAAGTTATTGGATTTTTGTATCCACACAATGATTATCTCTATATCAGATTATATGTACATTTCGCAAGATTTATTCGCAAATTAGTTGCTGGATGAATTGCTATTTGAAGTACTTGACGTGAGTATGTATGACTAACACTTGAAAGGTTGTCAAAGTTTCCTGAAAATTTTCCTCCAAAATGTGCAAAAAAAACTTACTTTGGCTTATAAGGCGTTGACACGAGAGGGAGAACGCTACCTTCGAGTCTATTGATGTCCGGAGAAAGTCGTATTGTATTGTATTGTAAACCTTTATTCAACTGTCAACAAATATCAGCTAATATAAGCTGGTTTCCAATTCATGACAGAATTGCTATAATTTAAAAGCACTAATCTAATCGTCTATAAATTAATAATAAGTGTAACAATTCTTGTTTCTTGACAAAAGCAATTCTTTACACTGCTGTACGAATTTAGGAAAGGTTACGTTACTTTCCCAGTTACGTGGGAGAGAGTTCCATAATTTTATGGCACAAAAATTAATTGAATTTTTTGCTATAGAAGTGCGAACACTTGGCACTTTAAGGAGTGGGAAACTACGCTGTGACCTTGCAGAACTCTCACTTTCTCTCAGAAATTTAAAAACATATTTAAGTAAATATAAATCTCTACGTTCTAATATTGGGAGAATACCACACTTTTCTCTTAGTTGGACAATATCTATCTTATTTCTTAGCTCTTTATATCTACTTGCCTTTCGCGCACGCTGTTTTTTGGCAATTATTGGAAGGTAGAAGTTTACAAGATATTGATCTATTTTACGTTGTAATCTACCAAGTTGCGAATCTGGGAGAGTGGCCCATATAGTTATACCGTAATCGATTATTGAATGGACATAACAATTAAGTAATATAATCATAACCTTATCTGTTAAATAACGTTTTATACCATACAAAAACCCAATACTACTAGAAACCTTTTTTGGACTTGTTCAAAGTGATCCTTGAAACTTAGCGTGGAATCAAGCTCAATACCTAAGTACTTAAATGAGGAAACTTGCTCAATTTCATAACCATTTTCAAGTAACAAAGGTACGTGTACATACTCTTCTGGGATTTTATCATTCGGTTTGTGAAATATTTGATATTTGGTTTTTGTGTAATTAATGACCATGTTATTTTCAATATACCATTGCTGTATTAGTTTAATCTGAGCTTTCAATATATCAAATATTTCCTCCAAATTATTACCTGATACATACACACACAAATCATCGGCATAAAGCAAGAAGGGAACAGTGATAATTTTTGCTATATCGTCCTGATAAGCTCAGTAAAGCATTGGACAATTGACCCCCCTTGATTCAGACCTGACTCATTACAATAATAGTTAGTTGATAATTTGCCCCCATTGTTAATATTAAATAACGTATTCGTCAAGTAATTATTCAAAGTTTTAACATAAATAGGGTGTAACTTATACTGATCCATTAGTTTTATAATTAATAAGGATCGATCTATACTATTGAACGCTGACTTTGCATCAAAATAAACAACTACACATTTGGCTTTCGTCTGGTCCAAGGCTTTATAAATATAATTGGATAAAATATAGCTTGAAAAAGTAAAAAGTTCTAAGGTGAGGAAGTGCACTAAAAAGTATTAAACAAGCTCCCTCCGCCACCCAGATAATTTTACTTCGCCTGGGCTGTCTATCGCATGCAAAATATCTATTGCAAATAAAAATATGCAGGTCATAAAAAAGTCGCTCATAGGGTTACCTAACAAAAAAACAATGGTGGTCTTGCATTGTATAGTATATAATATCGTTTAATATAATATAATATAACTTAATATAATATAGTTTAAAATATAGTTTAAAATATCGGTTTATCAGTACAACGAGCACGATGTCGAGCTCATACAAATAATTAATAAATATTTAGGGACGGGTGAACCATATGTAATAATAATAAGCTCCAAATTATCATAATTGCTAATAATAATAATGATACCCTTACCACCAAGTAATGTTGATCTGGATATTAACCAATTCAAAAGTTAACTTTGGATCAAGAAATTAATTCTAATTCTTATTTTCTTACGTTACGCCGAAACATTATTGTCGATATTTTGCATGCGATAGACAGCCCAGGCGAAGTAAAATTATCTGGGTGGCGGAGGGAGCTTGTTTAATACTTTTTAGTGCACTTCCTCACCTGAGAACTTTTTACTTTTTCAAGCTATATTTTATTTAACTCTTTTTTAGGTTTGAATTTTAAAAGCAAGTATAGAACATAACCATTATTACACGCTATTTGCAACGAAACATTTACACTGTTAGTCTTACGCATATCGTGGCCAATTTTTTAAAAGTTCCAGTTGATAGGTGTCAGTTCCGATATTCCTAACCGACTCAAATTAGCTCTTCGACTTATCCTTAGAAAACCATTTGTGACAATTTCTAAAAGGTATGGGTGACTTCAAAGGGTCCCTCCACATAAAAATGTTCCCAATTTCAGTTCATATTCTTCCATTAGGTGCGACTAGAAAACGCTGTACCAAATTACAACTCGATTGGATGAGTTTCAAAAATCGGTATGGGTCATCCCAGATGGTCCGTCCAGATGAAAATTTTACAATTTTACTTCATATTACTTCATTAGAAACTATTATCAACCTCTGTACCAAATTTCAGCTTTGTATGATAATTTTGAAATCTAGTGCATAGCACCCCACTCACTTAGATGACCCCTACGGGTCAACCATTTGACCGATTTCTCCCACCATCGAACTCGTTTCCTAGCTTTGTTGGATATGCATATGGTAAAATTGTCGTGTTCACGGACGGACATGACGGTCCCATAAGTCCGGGCACAGGCTAAGACTATAAACTACTCCATAGCGAGGGTGTAACTATATAGTTACTATATAGCAACCACCCGGAAATTTTCGTTATAGGGAAAAGTCG